TCTATCTATCTATCTATCTATCATCCATCTATCTATCTATCTATCTATCTATCTATCTATCTATCTATCTATCTATCTATCTATCTATCTATCATCTATCATCTATTGTGTAGAGAGAGTGTCAGGAGGGAAAAGAAGAGGGAAGGAAACATCCACATAGAAGAGATTGCCTGTCGCTTGCACAAACTGGAGCCTGGATGCAAACCCAGGCATGTGCCCTGACTGGAGAACATTTGGTTTACATGTTAACATGAGCCACAGCAGCCAGGACTAAAATATTTCCTGTGGAAACTCTTTAAATAAAGAGATAGCCTGGCTCTCTTCACATACATACACAAGCCTCTATGAGAGAGACAGGATGGTGGGACTGCAGGGGCAACATAGGACACAGGGGGCATCAGTGCCGCTCAGGGTCACTCATGAGCACAAGGGACAGCATTGTCATCATGGAGCCTTGAAAGCACCAGGGACATCAATACCACCAGGGAGTTCTCATGACAGAAGTGGACATCAGAGTCACTTGGGCACACTGATGAGCACAAGAGAAATCAGTGTCACCACGGGGGGATCAGGACACCAAGAGGTATTACTGACACCAGGGAGGTAAGTGCTATTATATGGAGAGGTGCAGCTCAGAGGAGAAATTCTGGATGTGGAAGGTGACAGGTTGCACACCTTTTTTAATGTGCTTAATGTCACTGTGTGCACTAAAAATATATTAGCCTAGAGAATGTTTAAACATATGAGCAAAACCCTCAGAAGGGGTGTGACTGTTCCATGTGTTTTTCCAGAGAAAACCCTCAGAAGGGGTGTGACTGTTCCATGTGTTTTTCCAGAGAAATGTTCCATGTGTTTCTGGGAAGAGGGGGAGCCTGGATCAGGAATTTGGGTCATGGACAACCCTCAGCTGAGAGCAGTGCGTGAGGTGGAGGTATGGGATCAAGGGCAGTGGGTGAGTCACATCCTGAGAGAATGCAGGACATGACTAGGACCTGGAGCCTCTTCAAGATGTGATATGGGTGGCACATCACTAGGGCCCTGCACTCTTTGACTTACAGTGTCACCAGGGAGAGTTGTGGGGATGCACGACTGTCCATGGCGCTCACCACACACAGGGCCATGTCGCACATAATGTACCCACCATTCTCAGGAGATAGTTTGTCCCAATGAATTTTCACTTTGCAGCATCCTCTGAAAAGCTAACATGGAATAGGAGTGAGATAAATAATGAGACCTTCACCAGGTTCCACTTTTCTGTGTCACAGTCTCTAAAGTTCCTTGAAAACTGGGACACAGAGACACCCAGGTGCCCACCTGAAATGTTTTTCTGAGCAACATCACTGGGAAAGGCAAGGAGAGGTACATGTCCCATCTAAGGGCACCTGGGGAAGGTGAGGAAATACAGGGCTGGCCAGGGCCCTGAAAAGGGACCCAGTTCCTCTCCATGTATGGGGAGGGGACAGGAAGAGGTTACCAAGCACCGATGTACACTGGGTCACAGGTGTGCTGTTCACTGGAAGAGGTGTTCTCACAGCTTCTCTCTCTTGGCATCCACCTCCCTTTCCTTCATGCTGGGCAAAAAGGGCAGGTCCTGGCACTCTACATGTGCCCCCTATCCCTGCAGAACAGTTGTGACAAAATTATAATCAATGCTGTATCGGTCCGATGTGGCTACAACCACCCGTAAATCTCACTGCTCCTGTAGAAGAAGGAGGAATCTCCTGAGACAATTATCACCTGAAGAAATCTCTTAGCTGGTCCTTACGTATTCTCAGTCTTCTGGATGAGCCCCAGTCCTTCCTGTGCATTCTTAGATGACGAGCACTGCAGTGGGGAGTTTCTGTGGATGGAGGGTGTGTGAGACTCGCACAAGCAAACCTGGTTTTCAGCATTTTCCAGGCTGTAGAGTCAAAGCATGTTTTTTCACTTCACTCAAGTGGTTTAACAAAAAGTACAGCAAATTAGCCCTTTGGTTTCCCTCCATCTGTCACATGGCCCATCATGAGCTCCCAGTCCCATTCCCAGGACATCAGCCTCCAAGTCCCACCCCCAGGGTCTGAGGCAAACACATGGATGGCCGGTTCCAAACTGACCCTCTATATCGTCGAATCTGGTTGCATCCTCCTCACACATCTGTGGACACTGCTAGACTAGAGTCAGAGCCTGTGTGTCTCTGGGTGAAAAGCCTCCAGGGCTAAGGCCCCCATGCGCTCAAGGAACCCGAGAGGCCTCCTGAGCAGCTCACCTGTGGGAGGGGGTGGCACGGACCTGGGGGAACTGCATTGAAAGGAAGGACACCGAATCTATAACACCTGTGTCCGCTGCAGCTTCTGGGCTGGACCCTGGGCAACAAGTCCTAACTTGCATGGCTTATTCCCTGGAGCTGGAATGAGACAGAGGCTGCACCTGTTCTGCCACCTGCAGAAACAGGTGCCTCAACCAGAGCAAGGGAAATACTTCTTTATTTTGCCATATTTTTACATTAAAATGTACATTATGAAATGATGACTATCTTATCTGGAAAGGATGTGCCTCCTTTGTATGTTTCTTTACACTTGGGCAGATGTTTGGATGAATGTGACTCTGTTTTAATATCCTCTTGAATTATATATGAAATTAAATTTGCGTGATCCCTCTTCCAGTCCAACTTTAACTGTTAAACCTAGAACGAAGTCCTGTTAATTGGCATGATTCAGAGTTGACTCATAACCCAACTTCTATTCTATACCTGACCTTCGCCATCAAGTCCCAGAGAATAAATGTCTTCAGGGCACAAAGACAGTGACCTCTCTCTCTCCCTTCCTATCAGAATGGAGTACACCACATGCAAATTACTGTCTCAGTTCCAGGTTAAAACCTCCCCTGGGCTGTGGAGACTCACAGCTTTCTCCTCACAAAGGTCTGAGTCTCTAGGGAAGACAGACCTGTGTGTAGAAGATGAGATGGCTGGGTCTCCTCCTGTGCATCCTGAGAGCACCCCAGGATGAGTGTCTCAGATGTCATACATGGGTGTATGGGTTGGTGTTGACTGAACAAGAATGACAGCGACTGTTGCTCTTTCTTTCCAGATGTCTGGTCCCAGATATAGCTGGAGCAGCTGGGCCAGGGAACTCTCAAGCCCTCAGAGACCCTCTTCCTCAACTTCATTGTCTCTGGTGAATCCATCACCAGTGGTTATGATTGGAACTGGATCTGTGAGCCTCCAGGGAAGGGGCTGGAGTGGATCGGGAGCATAGACGATGATGAGGACAATAACTACAGCCCGTCCTTCAAGAGAGCCGGGCCTCCATTTCCTGGGATATGTCCAAGAACCAGCTCTCCCTGCAGCTGAGCTCAAGGAGTACTGAGGACTCAGCTGCGTATTACAGTGCAGGAAGCACACTGAGTGGAAGACATCAAGAGCCTAGACACAAACCTGCTTGCAGGAAACAAGAAGGCTGGGCTCCAGGTGGCCCTCAGGTCACCAGAAGAAGCAGTGGAACACTACACTGACCCTGGTCTACAGTCTCTCAAATGAAAGGACCAACTTTATGCTTCAACTATTCCTGCATCGGCACCTGCTTCTGCTCCTGGGGAGACCCTAGTCCATTGGCTACTGTGTTACTACCATCGAGGCTGCAGGCATTGCAGTCCGAGAATGGGGATCTGTACGCTGTAGGTCAGAGAGACCCTCCTCCACAAAACAAGTCAGTGTTGGCTACACTGAGTGAACAAGACTATCCTAGGTCTCAATCTCCACAGGACAATCCAGGACCTTCTCACCATGGCCTCTGCAGGTGCTAGGTGTTGGGAGAACAGAAAACCACAACAGTGGGAAATCTCCCATCTTCATGTCAAGTGTCTTTGCTTTTATTTTGTCATTAAATACGTCACTCATATAGTTCCGGTGAGAACTGGAATCCTGTCCACATGAAAGGAAAAAGAAGAGGGAACTGGGGTTATTACTTCTAAAAGTATTTGTATGTGTTTGTGTTTGTGTGTCTGTGTGTGATTAATTGAAAAGTAATAGTACATTTGAATTAGGGCCATGTGCAAGGATACTCACATGGGAACAGCATATAGATGAACCTGACGACATCAGTGTCCCTTAGGCCTACTGAGAGCTTCTGCACTCAGGGATGTTAGCTGAGTCAGTGCCTAAGGCATCTTCAGCAAAGGGGCACCATGGTGGCTTCACAGTGCCCAGTGTTGGGGATCCCTACAGAGTCACTGGGGATTTCTAAGGACATTTCTGTTTATCCTGAGTCATCTAAACACATGGTGTCTCGGAGGGAGCATCCTGAAGCTAGGGCTCAGTTTTTACTTCTGGAAAACAGATATGGAGAATCCGATGCCCTGTCAGGCCAGAAAAGACCCTCCCTTGCAGGGCAGGGTTTGGGCAGCAGATGGCAGTAGGGCCCATTATCTTAGGACTGCTGCCCAGGAGCAGGTAGGAATGGAACTGAGGAACCATGTCCCTGATGGAATTGGTAATCTTGTCTTCATCAAAACATCTAAAATATGGCTTTGACATGGTGTGACTCTAAATACCTATCTCTCTCATAGTATTTACCAGACTGAATAAGACAAGAGAGGCACAGTCAGTAGGAATATTATAATGGCTTCTTTATATCTGACTATTAAGGAGCTGGAGGCCCTGATAGAATAAATAAAACCTAGAAGCATTAGAGCCCTGAACTGTCCAGGTTCTCTCTGTGTCACTCAAAGTTGTTTTCAATGAGGAGCTTGTCCAGTGAGGCTCGATATTCTGTGGGTGGAGTTCTGTGTGCCGAGAGCTCTGAGACCTAGAATGTGGACATATCAGATAACACTAGTTGAATCTTGAACCCTGATCATCCCACTGATTATGCGCCTCCTCCCCCTTCTCAATGATGGAGTTAGATAATCAAGTATGAACTACTTTTCCTCATGATTACACAAAGGAGAAGAGGTGGACGAGGTTAAGTCTTGGCCTGTCTGGGCACTGAGAGCATCACCTTCAGCCACACCCTCCCCTACAGAGTCCTGAAGGCCCAGCCCCACTTCAAGGACTCATGCTGGAGAGCCCTCATCCTGGTGACATGGGCTACAGGTAGGGGCCCCTTTGCTCCTGGGTTGAGGAGGGCACCAGGGGCAGTCAAGGTAAGTACCACCCTGTCCTTCCTCCTCTCTTCCTGTGTCCACTCCCAGGTGCAGCTTGCGGTATCTGGGGCTCAGGTGAAGAAGCCTCGGGCCACAGTAAATGTCTCAAGCAAGGCTTCTGCCTACACCTCCACCAGTTTCACTGTATTCTGAGTATGACAGGTCCCAAGACCAGGCGTGAAATATATGGGCTTGCTCAACACAAACACTGATAAACCCACATAGCCTAGGGCTTCTTGTTGAAGAACAATGTTCTGTCTTCATGATACCCCTGTCACCTGGATTTTTTGCAGATTAATGCTGTGATGTCTTATGACACAGCCTTGTATTACCATGCAAGAGACTCAGTGTGATCACCCACTTCCTGAGTGTGTCACAAATCCATAGCAAGTGGCATGGTTGGACTGGGCTGAGGGGATGACAGGGAGATGGGCCTCCTGACTTCCTCACACACAGTCATGTAAGCGAGACTGGTACTGATGCTTCTAGGGGCACAGAAGAATCCCAGGAAAAAGTTTCAAGAGTCCGCATGCACTGCAAGGAAGACACAGGGAAGAGGCTCCTGCAAGGACCTCTGTTATTGTAAGATGTGGTCCAGAAAGAGGTTCCCCACCAGAAGTCACATGAAATGTCATCAAATGCAGGCCAGGGTACCTGAACCTTCAAAAGCCAATACTCCAGTGTCAGGGGCTGAAGTAAGAGATAGCCATTCTAATCAGGCTCCAGTCCCCCAAATGATGAAATACTCTAATCTCAAAACCCATTAACACCTTTCACTGTGGTTATGTGTATTATAGGAAGCTAGAGTGACAAAAAGCACAAATCGATCATGGGCTGGGACTGTGGATATGCTGACAATATCTTGGTTGTAACAATATCATGGACCTTCACGGTCATCTTCTAGAACTGTTTAGTGCCTGGTAAACTTTTTTCTTTGTGCCATCTGTGATTCCTAAATCTGTGGTCAAGGCTGTTTCTTATACAGCAGGACTGGGAATGGTCAAGTCCTGCTATATGCTTACAAAAACTGTCAATATGTGTATTTTTATAAGGAGAATAGTATATCTTAATATACTTCTATTTTATGATAATAAACAGCAGTATAAAGTTTTTATTCCATGGTATAAGTCCCCACTTCAATTCTTCCTCCATTTCTATGGAGCTATTGACGGCCTTTGAGCTTCTGAAGGAATGGAAAACAGGAGCCTGCTGGAAAGGAATATCATTGAGTTAAAAGCAGATGTGTACTTTACAGGCCCTTAAGAAGCACATACTGCTTTACTGTGATAGTAAAACCAAGTCATTAGAAATCTTTGAAACAACAAAGACAAGCTTTATAAAGAGAAGAATGGTTAAAAGTAAATTTAAAAAGTGTCTCCTCTTTACACCTGTTCTCAGTGGTATCCATATAAATAGACACATAAACCAATGCGGAGTTCACTCAAACACAGGGATATGGTGATGCAACGATTGTTGATGCCAGGCAGCCAGTGCATTTTGGGGATGCTGGTTCCGATCTGAGCTCAGGTGTCAGTGTAAGGGCAACAGTAGGGGTTGATGGTAATCAACCAGTTAATCAATCAGTTAAAATCCTGCTGGTTCTGCTACGACACAGTCTAAGGGAAATAGATTACCTAAGACTACTTTATCTAGAGACTCTCGAGATTCCTTAATATTAGCAGGTGAGATGTCAGTTTCATTGGCTATGACATTTAAAATCTTAGAGAGATTCTGAAGTACATGCTGTTGTACAGCTGCTCCCGACGAATGTACTAGAGTCCATCTAAAGAAACATTCATCGTGTGGGATTTCTTCAGGGAGATCTCATGTCTTTTGGTGAACTGATTCACCATCTCCAGAGAAAATGCCACAAGCATGTTCTACCTGTGAAGGGAGAGTGTGAGAGCTAATTACACACCCGTGCATTACTGTGTGGGAGACACAGGGGGGAACCAGCATGAGCCCCGACACAAGTCTTCCCAATGAGACAGAAGGGCTGAGCTGCAGGGGGCACTGAGGACTCCAGGTGGCACCCAGGTCCCAGTGCCTCTTCAGGAACAGGGCACTTGTAGTCTTTGCCTCATCCTTGGCCCAGGAGCTTCCTCTCTCTCTGACATTCAACAATCAGATACCTGAGAAAACCCTCACCATGAAGAATCTAAAGCGGATGCCCATCTTCTACCTAAATGCATTAGCAGACACAGGTGATCTCTGACTGAGAAAGGCATTTCATTAATAGCTGTGTTGTGCTGGTTGGTTTTTGTGCTGGTCTGAATGCATTACAGGGAGCCCCAACTACTTTCTGAAACATATTCTTGTGTTTGTCCATAATGTGTTTATGGGGGAACTATCCTTTGAATAAGTGGCTCATAAAAGCAGATTGTTTCCCACAAATGGGGACCTTTCACTGGACTGAGGGAACGTTGAAACAAAGATGAAAGAGGCAAAAGTGAGCCCTTCTTGTCTGTGTGCTGCCTGCTGTGTCCTGGACAGGGGTCCTCTCCTGCCCTGGACTCTATTGCCCTCACGCTCCAGACCAGGTTATGACAGCAACTCTCCTGAGTCTGCTTCCTGCAACCATAGCTCATGGGACTGCGGGATGTCTCAGGATCAGAAAATAAGCACACATTTTTTTTTATAAACATAAGTACAAATATGCTTTTGCTGATTCTCCTTTTCTGAAAAAATATGCCAAATCTGTCATAAATCAGATGGCATACAAGTTTTCCCAAATTTCCCCATCAAAGCCTACACAAGAGTTAGCTTGAAACAGAACCAGGCACTAGGTGACCACAAGGTTGATCACATCATTTCATGACATGTTAAAATTTGTACAGCTGTTACCAACCATTCCCTGTTTGCCCTAGACCTCTGAGGCCCTTTGACAGTACCAGATGCTCATGAATGCAGCAAGGAGATTCCTGAAGACAGAATAAACAACACTGTGTGGCCTGAGAGCTCTCTGAGGCATCTTCAGCAGGACAAGCTGATGATATTCAACAACACACTGGTACTCAGTGATTGATATTGCAAAATAATTTATGCATTCATCTTGAAAATAGTTCACTGTAGTTTCCTTTCCAGTGGGAACATTTGTGATGTGCATTTACTGAAATGATACAGATGTATTTCATTCCTCAAATCCTTGAATGATTGCTCAGAAGGGATGTCTTCTTGATGCAGGTCCCAAGAGTGATCACACATTATAATGAGAAGATCAACATGGAAAGTAAATATTCAAGAACTAAAATGACCTGTTGGTAACATAACTGGCACCTGTGTGATAAGCCTAGCACAAGTCCAAGGTCCTGTGGAAATGGGGCCTTTCTCAGTGCTCTCCTAGGCAGGACACAACTGTGACATTCCCCAGACAGGGAAAGTCAACCAGATGCTCTTCTCTGTCCCTGGAACTAAGTGAGATCTCAGTAGCTGCCAGGTTTCTGGGCTTACAGAACACAGAGTCCATATGTGGAACATCACCACAGCTCCTCCATGAGAGACCCTGGAGAAGGCCACCTTTGAGAGGGAACCTGAGTAAACCAGCAGTGTCTGACTCCTCACCTGTGTCACCTTGTTCACTGTGAGAATCTCCATGAGATTGGCTTGGGAACCAGGTGCAGAAGGAGGTGGTGGTTCCTGAAGCCACTGAAAGACACAGCTCTGGGTCACAGAAAAGTGAGTCTGAATGTAAGATGCTGGGGTCTGAGTTCCAGGGCAGGAGGTCGGAAGAGAAAGCAATCATCAGGATGAATCATCCAGAATGGATGAACATCCAGGGTGCCCCCTCACGGGGCTGGCCTCTTTCACTTAGGAAGTCACACCCAGGCTGAGAAGTCATGTGGGGTCCCTGATACATACAGTGAAGAAGGGAGACTGTTGGTGCACTAAAAAGAAAGTCATCACACTGTGTGTGTACATGTGATTTATTGAAGAATAGAAGTGCACTGGGATTTGGGCCACATGCAGTGATACTCAGACAGGACCTTCAAGCATAGGAACCTATACATCTCTCAGCTCCAGGGTATGGACTCCCCGGTACATTCATAGGGCCTTGATTGGGGTTCCTGGCTTAGCCACTGGGGTTTAGTAAGGCCAGCTGTCTGTGCAGAGATGTTGAGGCACATTGTGTCCTTGAGGGAGCAGTCTGAAGTGAGGGCACAGCCTTCAATTCTAAAATGTCCCTGCCGTGTGAGCGGAAAAAGGACCCCCTCTGCAGGGCTCTGTCAAGGCAGCAGGCGGCACACAGGACCCATGAACTCAGAGATGCTGCCAAAGAGCAGGTGCAGAGGGAGGTGCAGAGGGACTTCCTGTGAGCGCCTGGGTCTTCCTCTTTCATGGAAATATCTAAAATAAGAGTGGAATATGGTGACTGTAAACATCCTATTTGATCAGAGCATCTACTAAACTTGAAGTGATGTAAGAACCACAGTTACTGAGGATATTTTTAGGTATCCTTTACACATGAATTCCAAGGAACAGAGAACAGGGATTGTTTTATTAACACACTTGATGCAGAATTTTTGAGACACACCCTGAGCAAGGACAAATACTTTAATGTATCAAGCCCAGAACCGGTCCAGCGGTCTGTGGTTACTCAAAGGTGTGTTGCTCACAGTAAGCAAACTGTCCTCTGGGGGATTATTCCACAGTGGGAGGATCTATGTCTACACAGAGCTGAGACGCTGGGCAGGGTAAACATCCTCCAACAGTGATGAGGACTTGGACTCAGTCCTCTGCTGGGCATGGTCACTTGTCCTCAGTCTTATCTCAGGTGGAGAAAAATATACAAATATGATATGATGTCCTAATGAATATGCAAATTAGGAGAATTAAACTAGGTTAAATGTGGTTTGTCTGTGCCCTGAGAACATCACCCGCAGCCACGCCCTCTCTTGCAGAGTCCTCAAGGCACAGCTCCTCACCATGGACTGGAGCTGGAGAGCCCTCTTCTTGGTGGCAGTGGCTACAGGTAAGGGAATCCTCAGTCCCTGGGTTGACAAGGGGATCAGAGACAGTCCAGGAGGATATCCGAGCACTGATGTCTCCTCTCCACAGGTGTCCACTCCCAGGTGAAGCTGGTGCAGTCGGGGGCTGAGGTGAGGAAGCCTGGGGCCTCTGTGAGGGTCTCCTGCAAGGCTTCTGGATACACTTTCACTGACTATCCTATGAGCTGGGTGCGACAGCCCTCAGACAGTGCCCTACAATACACGGGCTAGATGAACACAAAAAGTGGGAAATCAACGTATGCCCAGGGCTTCTAAGGTCGATTTGTATTCTCCATGGACACCTCTGTCAGCACTGCCAACCTGCAGATCAATGGCCTAAAGTCTGAGGACATGGCCGTGTATTACTGTGCAAGAGACTCAGTGTGATGACTCACATCCTGAGAGTGTCAAAAACCCTGAGAAGCACAATAGCTGGGCTGGGCTGATTAAATGACAGGGTGATGGGTCTCCTGAATTCCTCTCACACAGTCTGGAACCTGACACCAGGACCGGTATAGCCAGGTGCATATCAGAAATTCAGAGAAGCATTCAGGAGACCAGATGCACTGCAAGGAAGAGGCAGGGAAGATGTTCCTTAAAGCACTCCTGTTATTCACTATAATTTGTGCAGGGAGCCCATTGGCAGCTTCCCTGTAATCTGAATAAAGTTTTTTGAGCGTGGCTTAACCCACAAATCTTGGTCAAGGACACGTTGTGGATTTGAACTTAATGACTCCCCTTCAAGTTCTTGGACATCGCTAACTTCTCAACAATGGAAGTGCACTTGGGGAAAAGTAACTACAAGGCAGAAAAGGATGGATTTCATTCACTTGTCTCTGAGCAAGCATCACAGACGTGACATTCTGGGTGCAAATTCCAGGGTTAAGTGTTCCAGGTTCCAGCACAGTCTATGGCATCATAGTGTTCTTTCTGTTCTCCCTCAGGGTGAGATCCTGAGGACTCTCTTCACCTGAGACCAGAGCTCTGTGAGTGTCCCTTTCCCTGGACCAATACTGAAGCGGTCACACATCAGGGAACAGGGAACTGGCATCAGGGAACCCTTTCCAGTGGGAGACCACGTCAAGCCTATACTATATTCCTGTGGGAACTGAATCAATTGCCCCCACATGTGGCCTTGAAATCCATACAGTCTGTGATCAGTGTGTGAAATCCCTTCTATGGACTAGGGCCAAGGCACTAGCAGGCCCGCCCCAATCCAGTGACTTCGGGGAAGTGCTGTGGACTGAATGAAGCTATTACCCGAAATGTATGTGTAAAAATCTTCCTCCCCAAAGAGGATACTATTAGGAGAGGGGTTTCAGGAGACGTTTAGGTCATGAGGTTGCCCAGGGATGAGGTTAGTGTCCTTCTCAATGAGCCCAGAGTGCAGGCTGGTCATTCCACAATATGAAGACCCACAAGAATTTCTCTTATATCTACCAAAATGAGGATCCTCTACAGAAGGAACCACCCTGGAGTGACCAAATACAGGTCTGGCTGTCTATCAGTTCAAAAGGCAATACTCACATTGCAGGTGTTGGTATAAAGGAAAGCGGCTTAGTTCTGGTGCTGACAACCAGGAAGATGAGGGTCTGTCTTCTTAAAGGCCATGTTAATATTTCAGTATAGGCAGGGGCTTTTATAAGAGGGACAAGGAGAAGAAAAAGATCTTGTGGAGAGGTTGTGGATGTCCAGGTAGTGACCTTGTTAGTCCCAATATTGATTTTTAATGTCAGCATCCTGACACTGTTTGATGTCAGGTAACTTCCTGAAGTTTAGAGATCTTTTTCACTCAAAATCATGGTCAAGGTCATTTCTTTTCCCAGCAGGAAAGGAAATGCTGCTGGTTGCAAATGGTTCTAATGAAACTCAGTATGAGTTTTACAAATTTATTAGTACATCTCTTTTTTTTTTTTTTTTTATGTCCCTAATACTTTATTAGTCACCTCTAGTACTGTTCCTGGTCGAGCGAATCCAGAGATGAGTCACTGTTCACCATTCATCTAAGGATACAAAAAGGCTTCGGGCAAGCCCTTTAGGGTGACAGACTATGGAATATGAAGGGGCAGATCTGCCCTTTCCTGGGCCATCACGGGGCACCCATGTAGGGTCCAAGAGCCCAAGCCTGGCACCTGTTTGTCAGCCTGGTTGTGTTTTGAGAAGCATTCCCTGCGGTCAGCCATACAGGGCTTGATGGTATCACTGCCTGGCTTCCAGCCAGTGGGACAGACTTCCCCACGATCATAGCTGCACTGAACGGCCTGGGCCAGCTGAAGAGTCCCATCCATGCAGCGCCCCACATGCAAGTAGTTGATGGTGATTTGGGGAAGGACACTCTTGCCATCAGAAATAGAGAGGCCCCTGTAGGCAACCCCCTCATCTTCCCTCAACACGCCATAGTCATGGGAAACACTTCTGGTTACATCAGCCAGCAGGGGCATGTTCAGAGAGCCCAAGCCTCCATCTTTCCTGGGCATGTTAATCCAAGCCAGGTGGGCCACGAAGATTCCCAGCACCTTGCAGCCCAGCTTGTGGAAGGCCTTGGCATGCTCGCTGAAAGCGATGATGTCCGTGGGGTACACAAAAGTGAAGTCCAACAGGTAGAAAAAGAGGAACAAGGGGAAAAAGTCCCTCTTTATTCTGAAACCGTCACCTCCTTAAAGGTGCCATCACCTATGACTTTGGCCTGGAAGTTGCAGGTGGGATTTCTGACATGAGCATTTGCAGAGGCCATGACTGAAAGCTGTTTGGAGAAGGGTGGGATGCACCTTCAGCAGATTGGCTGACTCATGTTCTCAGAGACCTCACCTTTATGAGTACTTCTTATTCGAATTGTATTTCATGGAAAGTCACACCAGTGTAAAGTTTTTTATGCCCTATTTATCATGACTGTCAATTAGTTCTCCATACTTATGAAGATATTGATGTTCTATGAGTCTTCTTGGGCAATGAGAATCCTGACATCCTGTAAACCAAATTTCATGAGTTAAAAGCAGAAATACTTTTAGAGGTGCCTGGTGAGCAGATTGTATTCTCCTAACATGGGAAAGCCAAGCCATAAAGAGCTTTGAAATATTAACACAATATATATGTGCCATGTTCGTGGCAGCACAATTTACAACAGCCAAGTGCTAGAAGCAACCTAAGTGCTCTTCAGGAAATGAGTGGATTGAAAAACTGGTACTTTTACACAATGGAATACTATGCAGTAGAAAGAATGAAAGAACTCTTACCCTTTGTGACAACATGAGTGGAATGGGAGAGCATGATACTAAGTGAAATAAGCCAGACAGGAAAAGACAAATGCCATATGATCTCAACTGATATGTTGATCTCAACATATGATATCATATGATCTCAAATGCCATATGATAAGTGGAACATAATCAATAAAGCAAACAAGCATACAAAATAGAACCAGAGACATTAACATAAAGAATGAACTAAAAGTAACTAGAGTGGAGGGGGTATAACAGGAAGAGAAAGAGAAAAGTTGTCAAGGGACATGTATAAAAATCCCATTACAAAGCCAAAAGGGGGTTGGGTCGTGGGTGGAAGGTGGGGTGGGGGGGACAGGGGAACTGATAGAGGGAAAATGGAGACAACTCGACTTGCACAACAATAAACAAGAAAAAGAAAAAAAAAGAAACCAATTCAACCATTATAAAGAAAAGAATAGCTCAACCTAAGTTAAAAATCCCTCCTAGTATGGATCTGAGTCCTTGTGGAATTTTTGAAAATAGACTAATCCAATTTCCAGGTTTCTCAATGAGAGGAGCATGATGGTCCAATGTTTGTTGGTGCCATGTAGCTTGTGCCTGAGTTTGGTGATGCTTGTTTCTGCCTGTGCTCAGGGGTCCATGTAGGGATGACAAGTGGAATTGGTGGTCATGTAAAGTCCTCCTTGTTCAACAACATGGTTATCTAACACAACTTTAGGTAGAACATCCAAAGATTTCTGAATAGTAGCCACCCAGCTGCTATTAGCCTTTACCTGCATATTTATAATATTGGATGAGTTCCTGGAGTTCTCGCAGGACCCAAAATGTCTTTAGGTTCCTCCTTGTCATCTTCCAGAACAGAAATCTTCACATGTCACCTGGAAAGGCAGCCATGAACCTTCTGAATAAAAAGCTTCCAGGCAATGTCTGCACAGTGTTGTTAATCCTCTTCAAAGTCTTCCTTCATTCTTAAAGCTTAGCTGATATTCAGGATCTAAGCATGTCTTTCTCAGACATGACATTCTAGTCAAAATCTTGGTTTATAAAAACACAATTGGAAACTGGCTTTATGTATGTTGTTATGAATAAATCAGATTCCTGCTGAATCTATGCAAACAAATATGTTGCCATGGAAACAACAATAGTCAGTCACTGAGTTCTAAATTCTGGAGAGATCAGGTAGACAGAAACATGTATATGCTGCAATATTGTTTATTAAATCATAATATACCCAATTGCTCTATGTAAAATACAAGGTTCTTTATGTCTGAAAAGCAAAAAGATCAAAAGTTAGCATATTTTTGACAAAAGTGACCAAACTACAATCATCTTCAGTTCATCTTCTGCCATAATCAATTTTATTTGCGTGGTTATTTGCAAGTATTTCTATAAATCCTGTTATTCTATAGAATTCTAGCAGTCTTATTTTCCTTCAAAAATAGATCTGAATATTTATTCTCAAGAAACTAGAAATGACATGGTTATAGATCGAATAACAGTGGTATTGAAAAAGTTATTTTTCTGGAACAACATTTTGTTATCTTAAAATAACAAATGAAATTTTATTATAAATATGTGTATATAAATAGAACATAGCTATTAATTTGTGTTTTACAAAGATAATTCCCATGTAGAATAAGCATATCAAATTGGTCTAACTGATCCAAAACTTCTTCCAATGAAGAAAGGATAAGTCCATGTGATATTCCAGGAACCTGCTAGAATGACCCAAAGAAAATTTTACATCAAGGAAAAAAATATGTATATATGCACCTTATACGTATACTTTTAACATTATATATATAATCAAATATATATATATTAAGCCCTGGGGCCATTGCTGGTGTGACTCAGGGGATTAAATCCTGGCCTGAGAATCAAAGGCTCACCGGTTCAATTCCCTATCAGGGCACAAGCTTGGGTTGTGGGCCAGGTTCCCAATGAGGGGGGCATTAGAAGCAACCACACTTTGATTTATTTCCCCTCCATTTCTCTCTCCCTGCCTCTGTC